TATTTATTTTTGAGAGAGAGAGAGAGAGAGAGTGACAGAGTATGAGTGGGGAAGAGGCAGAGAGACAGGGAGACACAGAATCCGAAGCAGGCTCCAGGCTCTGAGCTGTCAGGACAGAGCCTGACGCAGGGCTTGAACTCACGAGCTGTGGGATCATGATCTGAGCCGAAGTCAGATGCCCAATCGACTGAGCCACCCAGGCGCCCCAGTCATCCAAGGATTCTAAATTCTCAGCATCTAGTAAGTTCCTGCTTACCGAGCCAGGTCTTTTATGTGAAACAAAGGAGAGGAGGAGGGTCTAGAGGGAGGTTGAGCGGCTAGCCTTGGTTCACATGGGTCCTGGTCAGGCCGTGGTCCCTTAACATAGCCCCCCACCTCCCACATGCTGCTTCCATCCTTTCAGATCTGTGTTTTGGGTTTTGTTTTAAAACCCTCTCCTCACCCCTCCACATGCTCGCTCATTCCACCCTCCCACCAGCAAAAAACTCAAGGGCCACGATTTAGTGCTGCTCAGGGTATTTGGAGGTAATATGGGTTATACCGTTAGGAGAAAAAGGCAGCTTTGTTTGAAAACTTCATTCTTTACCTCACCACATCTTTAAAAACACACATTTTATGAGGAAGTTTAAGCTGTGAAAACAGGTTAAAGTCAGACACCTTTTCCACACCATCTTTAACTGACAGCCAAGGAGTCACAGATTACTATATATTTTGGTAAAATCTATTTCTGCTGTTGTTACAATTTGCTTACTTGAACTCTGTTTTGAAAGACGCTGGAGATTTTACCTTTGTGAGAACTTTGACAATATATGAGAAATCTAGTGATGAGATGACTTCATATCTTACTTTTATTTCACGCGACCAGAAATACAGCACCCATTCGCCATGGGGGCAGTTCATCCCAAAATACTTAAACCTAGCTAAAAGAAACCAGGGTCATTGAGTCCACAGACATTGATCATTGTTTCCTCACCCATTTTTCTCACAAGTTAGAGGGATTTCTCAGTGAATTTCCTTTTCGTGATTGCCTCTGCCGGCTATCCTGTGTCCCCAAAAATATTCTTACGTTTAGAATGTCGGAGCTGATAAGAGCTTCAGATGCCATCATTTTATACAAGGACTCATGGGCCCAGGTAGAGGAAGTAGCAGCCTTCCATCTGGCATTGCCTTTCTGTCTGATCTTCAAGAAACAGCTTAAGCATTAGCAGGACAAAAATGATTTCTAAGTCACTTTGATGATGATGTTATTATGGGATTAGTGATACTTACATTTTACAAAGTGTGTTCTTTTTTTTTTTTTTTTTTTT